ATTGACAAGTCAAAGTGCCACCATTGACAAGTCAAAGTGCCACCATTGACAAGTCACAGTGCCACCATTGACAAGTCACAATGCCACCAATGACAAGTCAGTGTGCCACTATTGACAAGTCACAGTGTCAAGAATGACAAGTTAGTGTGCCGCCATTGACAAGTCACAGTGCTACTAATGACAAGTCAGTGTGCCACCATTGACAAGTCACAGTGCCACGATTGACAAATTAGTGTGCCACCATTGACAAGTCACAATGCCACCATTGACACTTCACTAATAATGATTATATACGACAATATAACCAAAAATATAATATGACGGAGTGATTGAAAATATCATATGTTACCAAAACAGGTTATGTAACTTGAATTCATATTATTGACAACTTACATTAGCAAATTAATTGACAAGCGACAGTACTCCATTGACAAGTCATAACAGGTCTAATGACAATACAGGGTGCAGGTAATGACAACTTAAATGACAGCAGAATCTAACATGCCAATTCATAGTCAACTTTCATTTTCACCTTCACATACATGAAACTACACCTATTTCACAACCCATCCCAAAAAAACATAGGGGTTGCATGTAATTATGAGAAACTAACTATTGGTGTGTATCCATTTACAAAAAATTCCCTACACACCTATTTACAAAATATTCCCTTCATATCCATATATAAAAAAATAGCTGATTTCAATATGTTCTCAACTGAGATTTGGGTTCTTGCATGTCTTGGCAGTGTGTCCAGGCTCTTTGTATCTTCCACAACGATAAACCTTCTTATTTTGGAACTGAGATTCTATCCTATTAATCCTTGGCCTTCCTGGAGGCCTTTTAGTTATGGGTGGATGCAAGAATATTTGGGTCAGCATATGAGTCACAGTAGGTGCATCCGACTATGGGCAATCATGCGTTGCAATTGGTCTCATGCTATTTGTATATATTTTTCTCCTGTGTGGACAATTTATAACAGTCATCTATATAATCATACACACTACGGTGAACTAGTTTGATTGCCGTACACGCATGTGGACAAGGTATTCCACTCATTTGCCATGCCAAACATGTGCATCTGTGAGAAATAAGATCAACAGTCACATAAATGATGCGTCCCTCAGGCATTGTTTGCACTGAAATATGGTCATCACCATAATATGTTGCCTCCATATATACACCTCTTGCTATTTGTTCTGACAACTTTGATTTAATATTGGGTCCTATACCATTTTTCTAGCTTTTCATCCCCATTTTGCTAGCAACCATCTTCTTTGCCAACTTCTCTTGGTGCTCTTGTATCAAAACCGGCAAGGCATGCTTCCTTTCTTTCAACATCCATGCATTAAAAGACTCAGTAAGATTATTGGTGATGTTATCCCATCTCTTAAAAGGAAATTTACTTTGCGTCCATCTATCCACATCCCCATGAGATTCAACCCATTGTGCCAATTGTGGACAAAACAATCTTAAATTTCCCATTGCAACATTAAACTCATTGTCATGCTTTGCATATGCGATTCCATCAAGTAAATTAAGTGCATTCTCCTTGTTATTTTCTGAGGTTCGTCTCACACCTCTATTGATTTTCACATACTGGGCACTATAATTTTCTTTCACATGTCGGTAGCAAAAAGCATGTCTCTCACCATCAAATACTGTCTTAACAGCACCAAATACTGTCTTAACAGCACCGATGATAGCATTACTCTGATCTGAGACAATTGTCACTTATGCTGATCTGGTTATCTCTTTTAGATTCTATAGAAACCAAGCCCATTCATCATTTGTTTCTTCGCTAACAATACCATATGCTAAGGGAAACAACTCATTGTCTGCATCAAATGCACAAGCGGATAATAAAGTTCCTTTATAAGGACCACTCAAATGACATCTATCTATATAAATAATTGGTCTGCAACCTTGTACAAAGCCTTTAATTGAACATCCATATGCAATGAATAGCCTCTCAAATCGGTTGCTATCTGAGCCTTCCCATCTTGCAACTGTATCAGGATCAGTTTCTATTAATCTCTCACACATCCAAGGGATTACCTTATAAGAATCTTCTACTCGACCATGTAATTATGTTAGTGCTCTCTTCTTGACCCTATATGCTTGAGTATAGTTCAATTGCACTCCATATTCTTTATACAAGTCCTTTCTAATTTCATTAGGATTCTTGTCAACATTGCACCTCAAGTCATCAATCACAAATGAAGCAGCTAAATTTGACCTTCCTGAGTAAGAAACAATTAAGTTGTCCTGTGCATGATGAATGTGTTCACTTTTGTATGTTCTGATAGTTAAAAACTCAGTATCTTGATGTGCTTCCATTGAATATGCACCCATATACCATGGACAACCATCAACCTTGCACTTCACAATAATCTTTTGCTGATTATTCTTAATAAAAAAGGTATGAAAACTTCTGGGATAGGTTGTACTTGTATAATGCTTCTCGAATAGCAGTGGCATTTGGAAATATTTGTCCTTCTCCAATAATCAAATCCTTCCATTTTGTGGAATTCATTTGTGGTGTAGGTGTTGGGATCATTTCAACAGCACAAGGAATTGATGATGGCTCTCCAATCACATCAAATAAGGTAGGTGGAGACATAGACAATTCATTGACACCTCCAAATGATTGATCAATCCTGCAGGAAATGACAAGTCAGGGTGCATGCATTGACAAGTTGATAGCAAGACAGTAACAACTGACATACCAAGAAATGACAATAACAGATTTGTTAAACTAAACTTACACATCTTGCTCCTCCATTGTATTATCCCTTGTTGCTTCTATGTGGTCCTTATTTCCAGTCTCTTTTACATACACATGACCACTTTTTTCATTGAACTTTATCAAATGTTCTACCCCATCATCATCTACCAACTCCACAAAAGTTTTTTTTATCAAACACAACTGAGAATTTCAAAAGAAATGAGTTGGTTTCTTTTCCAGCAATTGATGATATAATCTTCTTCAATTCTTCATAACTTGTGCCCTCCTTTATATTTGTTGTTCTTACACTACCTCCCACATATCTCATATCATCTTCTCCGTCATTTATAAACTTTCCACCTATGTGAACAAAGCAAAATAGATGCTTTCTGGATGTACCCGCCATCAGTAATTTAAACCTGCATCAAGAATCACGCAACTGTCATTGACAAGTCAAGGAGCTATATTGACAACTGTCACGGCACGCGTTGACAACTATCGCGGCCTGATTGACAACACAATATCCCATTTTGTACTAAAGGTTTCCACCCACACTAACCTTCATCTTTTTCTTCCTTTGCCACTAAACTAACATTAGAACAAAGTAAAACCACCCACAAGCAACTCAAAAACAGAGCACCCATGATCATCCTACACACCCAACTTAAATCACTAACACACACCAACCAAAAACACAGCTTTTCTATTGATTAACTTGTGAATCTCATTCCCAAAACCACCCACAAGCAACCCAAAAAGACAAAAACGATTTTCTAATTTCTCATTCCCAAACAAATGCACAATCTGTTAAGAGAGGTAGGAGAGGAGAGGAAAGAAAGTTCCACACCTGAAAATTTGTAGAGATTCACATGGAAGCTTTTTGGAGTTCACTAATGGTAATGGAGAAGATATTTCATCATCAATGGCTCCTTCCCTCTTTCCCAATCTCTTCTCTCTCAAGCATATTGCGCGGGAACTCCTCACCCAAATGAACTTCTCCCGTCTTTGTTTCTGATGGCAGGGGCAGGGCAAGAGAGTAATTTTTGGATTCTGAAAATTGCATCTAAGTCCCTTTGGGACTTCAGGAAAATTATGAGATTTCAGGAGACTTTTTTGCTGTATTTATGCTTGTGTGGGACCTTAATGCCATTTTCCCTTCTTATAACACTAATTTCAAACATAGTTGACACCACAACATAGAAGTCCAGTCAATCATAATTGGGTCATCGTTATTTCCTACTCTAAATCCATTAGTCTCGACAATAATTTAGCACATTACTAAAACACTAATTTCAAATATAGTTGACAACATAACATAGGAGATCAATCAATCAGAATTAGGCTCTCGTCATTTCTTGCCTAAATGCGTCAATCCCTTTCCTCAATCAACCACAAGTGTATGCAGCAACAAACAAAAATTTTAACCAACACACTTGTTATAATTCAAATTGGTTATATATTAGATATGGGAATCTAATATTACTTGATTTTTGAAATTTAAAGAGATGAGTTCAATTTGTAAAGTCTCAGAAAAAACGACAATAAAGAATCTGGAAATTGCTTAATTCTCAAAGGGTACTCTAAGTGTTATAATCCTATTAAAAGACAATCCTTAAATGGAATTATGAAAACATATTGAAAGATTAAAATGGCCCACTGAGATTTAAAAAAAAAAAACAAACAAAGAAGAAGAAGATAACTCCCGTCTATCATGCTCCCAACTTTTCACGACTCCCATATTTGCGCCCTAATATTATCGACTTGAGGAGAGTGATCACGAGTGTGTGGTGAGAAAGGAGAATGAAGTGCTTCGAAAGGTGGCATTGTTTAAAGAGACAATTCATTACTTCATCCCACCCTTTTTATATCCCCCAGTCTCTAACATCTCATTTTGTGGTGTAATAACTTCTTCGCATCAATCAAAAAATAATTTTTATAAATTGAAAATTTACAAAATCAGTCTAATTTTAATGAAAAATAATTTATAGCATCTATTAGGAGCCCAATGCTAATGTTCATGAATTCAATTGCCATGCCAGTGATTAAGAGAAAATTCCTCCAAAAGTATTCAGTGCCTATTTCAACCAACTCTTCATCTTTCCAGCGCTTTAATTTTATTTTCTAAGTACATCTGATCTTAGTTTTGTCACATTTGCCATCCTAATTATCTTAAAACCCAGGTCTTTTTTTTTTTTGGTTACATTTTAACACCCTAATTTTATCTATAATGCATCCAACACTTTAAATAAGACCACGTCACGGCTGGTCCCCCTTTAAAATGACAGTTGAAAAAAATTAAATTCCTTTTTTAACCCTTTGGTGGGGCTAAAATAGATCTACAAAACTTGAAACATCATCACAAGAATTCGTCCACCAGCTTCGAATCATTCACCACCCTTCCATCTGCCTCCAAATGTATGTGTAACCCCATAAGATAACATCTTTCATAGATCTGCTCTTATCGTGCGCCTAGACTACCACTCAAATTGGAAAATTTCAGGATGAGTTACTCATATCTAAATCTGTGAGTTACTCAGAAAAGAAACCAGACATCTAGCATTTTGAAACAATCTATCTACTTTCTGCCAAACCAGGCATTGAACTTCTAAAAGCTTCCGCGCCTTATCTTGCAACTGTGACTGCTGCCGAATTGTCTCACCGTGTATCTGTGAGACGCAGAAGAAAATAGCTTGTGAAAAAATATATATATATACATATATATATACTGATGTGTGCGTGTGTACGTATGTACAGAGAATCTTCTACACCTTTGAATAAACCTAAGTCATCAAAGTTCCTAATCACAGATAGGGAAAACTTTTTTACCTTTAAAAATAACCTGATTACAGCTTGTAGAAACTCAAAATTATTTTTGCGGGAGAGCTCATGAATAAAATAGTCCAGAAGTTGTTCAATCGAAACCAACTCTGGTTTCTTATATTCTTGATGATCGTCATCATCAATGATCTGAAGAATTCTAAGTTCCATATCCAAAGTTGATGGAGATAATCCTTTGATATAATCAGTAAAAGCTGCATCTACAAATGAAATCCAAAATATCAGAGATATGCTTTGAATTATCACTTCGAACAGAATATACAAAACTGTGTATATAAAACCAATAAATAACAGAATGTGCAGAAAATATCAGATTGTAAAAGTTCTTACAATTGTCTCCTTCGGCTGAGGATTTAAGAAGATAAAGAAATTGGGATGGCGGCATGTCTGCACTTTTAAATATTTCTGCTTCGTGGCTTGTTTTATCTTTCTCCTTTTCTAGTAACTTACCAGGCTCAAACAATATTTCCCCAGAAAGAGACGGAACAGTAGGCAAGAAGAATGGAGCCTTTTCAGGCTTTTTTGGAGGCTCAACAGGTTTATTGCGGGCCTGCAAATTAGAGTTGGTGGTCCAGAAAAGCATAACATATTAAAGGCTATTTACAGTTATCAGGAAAGAGAAATCACACTATTACATAGCATAAGAAGAAATGTAGAAGACATTTGAAGACCTTTATAATGTCTAGACTAATCAAGCTTTGCCACTGGCTCTTAGGCAGTAATGAGAGAGTAACCAGATCAGGCATATGCTTCTCTTGAGCAGCAAAACCTGGAACATCCTTAGGTTCAGAAGCATTTGCCGGCTTATCAGAATGTTCAACTTGAGAATCATTTGTAGAGGAGATAGATGGTAGCTTGATGCTCACAACATCCTTTCCACTTGCAAAGGAATCAACATTTGGAGCACCAGAGAACATCGCCTGATTTACCCTGATAAAGAAAATTATTAAGGTGTCAACTCAATTCCTAGATTAATAAAACTAATTCCATTCAAATTGTCATTTACTTTTAGTTGAATTTCTAAATCATCAACAGTACGTCATTCATGAATGCAACTGTCTTCCCGAATATTCAGGATGCCTATACTTTTCAGACATTTTTCAAACAAACCAGTCTCTTGTTCGTTCCATAGAAAATAACATGATAATGAAACTTGTAATACATGCAGAATTTTGTCCCGGAAATAACTTGTCTACATAAAACATATTGGCATTTCACTGTTTTCAAAATGACTTCCGCCAGCCAAAACAAAATCAGCTTCCAGACTATTTGACACTTAAGCTAAGAAACATCCAGAAGAAGATTCACCAAAATCTTGGACATATGAAAGATGTTCTCCGCCAACTTGCTGAGTAAGGTAAAAAGTAAATGTGGAGACTCACCACAGGTATACTCCATTTTTATCAGCATGTGTAGTAGCTAGTATATCCATGTTTGGGGAGAGGGATAATGCAGTGACAGGCACATCAGCAAGTATCGCATCTATTTGTCTTGCTAAGATTACATCCCAAATTCGAAGGCTTCCATCCATACTGGAAGATACAAGCCATTTTCCGTCCTCACTGAAGGACAAGTCTGTTATACGATCAGTGTGACCTTCAAATTTACGGACAAGTTTAAGATTCACAACATCAAACAATTGTATAGTGTAATCATCGACAACGGCAGCCAAAAGACCTGAAAACAATGAAAAAATATTGATTACCTCATAATCAAAGACTAGAAGTTATGAAGAATACAAATACAAAACATCAACTAGAGCAAGTCATAAGCAGAAGCTACCATTATAACGATGGTAATTGATCTTGACAATAGGGCGCCCAATGCCCCATCTCGATTTAAATTGACGTCCCTTGAAATCCCAGACCTGTGAGAGAACCTATTAGAAATGGGAGGTCCCACACAAAATGGTAGAAGTTGCTTTTTATTAACATGAAACAAAAACACACCATCCTCCCTAACCAAGAGCGGGGAAATAAGTGAAGGAAGAAAGAGAAAATTAATATTTTAGTCCTTAAAAGTTTTAATTCACGTAAAATTCAGTTCCTAAACTTTTAAATCAACTCCAACTCAGTTGCTAATCTTTTTGTTGGGGTTAACACAAAATTTGGTCTCTCAAGTTTGCCCTCACTTGAGTTTTGATCCCTCTAATTTCAAACCATAGGTTTTGGTCTCTCAAGTTTCTTTCCATTTAAAATATCGGTCCCTATAATAAAACTTGAGGGACCAAAACCTATGATTTAAAACTTGAGGGACTAAAAATTATATTAATCTTTTTTATTTTTAATAATTTTGCCCTTATCATTTGTAACTCATTCCAAGTCCTCATTGAGTCATCTTATGTGGCCAAAAAAACAACACTAAAAGTTGTGGTGACATCCAACTCCAGGTGGATTTGATAAGGTAAAAAGAAAATAGGGAATGCAATATAACTCATTTACAGAGGACAAGATGTTCTTCTACTTCATTCTTCATCTCCATCATTCGATTATCTCATTCTCTTGAGATTTACAAAGGAGGACATACACCCCTGTCTTGAAACAACTCTGCAAATTTTCTCACTCTACATTTTCTCACACTTCCATGATAGAAACTAAGAAAATAAAAACAACACTACAAATTGGTGGCTAATGTGCGCAGATCCAACAACTCCTAGAAGTGAAACTCTTAAGTCTTTACTTGCTAGTTTCCTTTCTCTCAAGTCTTTACCTGCCACCTTGGTGCACAGCCAACCAACAAACCCTGAGAAAACATTATCCTTCTTTTCCTCTCGAATGATGAAGATGAAGAATAAAGCAAAAGATGATCTCATGCCCTGTAAATTTGAGGCACCCCCCCCCCAAAAAAAAAAAAAAATCTATCAAATCCACCTGGAGTTGAGTTAGATGCCACATAACATGACTAAATGATGGCTTGAAATGAGTTATAGGTTATAAGAATAAAATTATTAAAAATAAGAAAGTTTAGGGATTGAGGACTGAGTCACACTGATTCATAATTGAGGGGTTAAATTTTAAGTGAGTCAAAACTTCAATAATTAGAAGATTAATTTTCACATAAATTAAGAGACAGAGAGAGAGAGAGAGAGAAGACTAAGAACCGAAGATCTTTCCATTCCCTACGATTACCATATGGAATACTTTCCCAAATAGGCCGACTGCTGTAACCGAATGGGAGGCCATGACAGAGGAGATGAGTCGTCTTTTTCCACATTGTGAAGTGGGCTGGCAGATTTGGAGCGGACAATCTGATATTTTTTGTGAAAGGTGGGTTTGTCTTGCTGATGTGCAGTTTATTTTTCCCACATACAATCCTATTACTGTGCTGTTGTTTGCAAGATTGTGCATGTTTGCTTAATGTGAAATGTTGAGATTTTGACCCAATAAGGCCCTGTGAAATTCCACTCCTTCCTTTTATTTAAGGTTCTAAACTAGGAATGTTTTAGTAGAAAAACATTATTAAACAAGCCTAAAACTTAAAAAATGTGAAACAAAACTAATTTCAATTATGTCCCATACTAAATGCAGGTTATTTTAGCACGAAACAGGAATACAAGATGACCCATTTGAACAAGCTGCCAAAATACGCTCACCAACACTAACCTTTATATCTCCATGATATCCAGCACTTATCAGGAGGGTATTTGTGGAGTCACAAGCAACTCCAACTACTTCGCTATCATGAGCACAATTTTTAGGTTCTGATATGTCAACGTAAGCACCCCGGCTGATTCCAGATTGAAGGTTAAATCTTTCAATCCAACCACATGCTGTCCCTAGCAAGGCAAAATTGCCACAAGCACTGATAGCACAAGCCTGGGATCACATGAAAGCCATTATCAACAGCTAACTGTTGTTCATCATAATTCATAATTAATTTAACATCCAACAAGAGATGCAACATTTGACATCCGAGAGTGTGTAATATGCTACTTTCTCATAACACAATGATCCTAATGAAACAAGTTATATAATCCGGCAGCAAGCTACTGGTTAGCTATACATTTCACTCATTTCTATTTTCAAAACAACAATTCGCCCTCCTGACCCAAGAAAAGCAACAGAGCGCTAATCAAGGGTTGTCCCAAAACAACCGGTCAGGCCCTTTATGCTGACATCAATTTAATTGGAAGAATTAGATAAATGAGGTCTTGAGTATCAAAATTCTGTTCATTTAGTTATGGGGGTTCGAATACCTTGTCAAATGCAAAAGCAACATAAAAATCTAATCTTCTCAAAGAAGGCTGGGGATGATTTTGACATATACCTACTTTCCCTCTTACACAGGAAATCAAATTAGACTTGGTAAGATGATAACCTTTACAGGTGTCGGATTTTGGGGGCATGGCTTCAATATATGCTCACCAAGAACAAAGTTTTGGAGTCTCCACACATATGCTTGGGTGGTATCCATATGACAAGTGACCACGTTGCACCAGTCCCGTTCCCTAATCTCAGCTTAAGTAAATAATTCACACAAGAAAAGAACATTAAGCATTTGGAAACCTTTACTAGAAAGACCACTGAAAATAATATTTTCTATGAAAAAGGCGTTGGATCAGCCATTTTTTTCAGCAACAACATTAGTTCTTCATATTTCTCACTACTATTACAGTTGCAAGTGGAAAGACTTTTTTTTTAATTGCATCCATAGGCCGGATTTAAGATCATATGAGGAAATGCAGATTATCAAGGCCATTTCCTTTATGGAACTTATATCCAGGTCACTCTAATCTTAACGCATAAGCTAGATCATATTCATCATCATTAATGCATATGCTAGATCATATTACTTTTGCAATTGGAAAGACATTTTTTGAATGCATAGGCCGGATTTAAGATCATATGAGGAGTGCAGATTATGAAGGCCAGTTCCTTTGTGGAACTTACATCCAAGTCACTCTAATTTTAATGCATAGCTAGATCATATTCATCATCATTAATGCATATGCTAAATCATATTACTGTTGCAAGTGGAAAGACATTTTTTGAATGCATAGGCCGGATTTAAGCACATATGAGGAAGAGCAGATTATCAAGACCAGTTCCTTTATGGAACTTAAATCCAGGTGACTCTAATTTTAATGCTTATGCTAGATCATATTCATCATCAATAATATTTTATAGAGTTTTTGCTGGTATCTTGGACATAATTCTTCGTTCAATTAGGAAGAATGCATTTGGACAAGAATTTGGGTAAAATTAGGGTGAGATTGACCGAATTAGTTGGTTTACAAATCTCAAATATTTTACTACTTTGATCACATATCCCCCTAAGTGGAGTCAATTACATGGATTGCACAGAACAATTAACCAAAAGATGTTGTTAAAAAACTTAATTAATCGATTAACCCTTCTCACCAGCGCATCAAATAGCCTTCTTTGAATACGTTCACACCACTTCAAAATGATTTTCTACGATTTCCTCTTTAACAGATGCCAATATAACACTTTTCAACACATGTTCATTAATCTCATCTTTTTTTTGTATGAACACGAATGCATCTCAAAATCCTCATCTCGGCTACACCCATTTAAGGCTCATGCTGTCCCTTTAAAGCCCAACATTCACTTCCATATATCATTGCTAGTCTCATAGTAGCGAGATAAATCCTCCCTTTTACTCTGGTAGCTTTTCTCCATTTAAACCACCCAACTTCAATTCTATAATTAAAATTTCCATCATTTCCATCATCTTTTTGATTACTTGATCCTAGATATCTAAATTTTGCCACTTGTGAAATGATTTGATCCACCAATTTAACCTCCAAATCACTTTTAACTTGTATCTTATCAAAATTGCTACTTAAGCAAAAACCTTAAGACTCCAGGAACCTCCTCCATAATTCAAGTTTAGAGTTTCTCTTCTTTTGACTCAGCCAAAAGAACTATATGATCAACAAAAAGCAAGGACTTAGGCATTTCTTCTTTGATAAGCTCAGTTAGAATGTCTACAACTAGGTTAAACAAACTAGGGCTCAGAGATAATCCCCGATGTAGGCCAATCACTATAGGAAAGCGGTAAGTTCTTGGAATTAGAGGTGTAGGAAAAGGGAGAAAGAAGGGAAAGAGTGATAGAGAGAGGAAAAGGAAGAGAGGAACAAGAACAGAAGGAGTTGTTGGATAATCCTTGAATTCATTCAATTGTCAGTAGTACATCTCATTTTGATTATGGGAGTATCCTTTTATAGAAGGAAATTAACTAACTAACAGAACTAACGAAAACAAATGTAATCAACAAGTTATTATCCAACGGCTACTCTAACCTTTGTCAATTGTCCTATCTACCCTTATTTATATAACACGAATTACAATTACATAACAATGCCCTCCCCTTCAAAAGATCCTTGCTCTCAAGGATTTGGAATTACAAAGTTAGGAAATTGCTGTTGAAATTGAAATGGAGGCATCCAAGAAGCTTCTTCATCAGGTTTCCCTTTCCACTGCACCAAAACCTCAGTGATTATTCGCTGCTTCCTTATGCCCACCCTTTGTTTAAGATTTGCTCAGGTTCTTGAACTATAGGTAGCTTAGGAAAATCAACCGATGGATGTCTAGGCTTAACTGACGGGTCAGGGCATAATTTAAGCATGGAGATGTGAAAAACAAAATGGATTCTGGTTTTAGGAGGAAGATTTAACTTGTAGGCAACCCTCCCAATACTTGTAAGGCCCAAGATACCTAGGAGCTAACTTTTGGGAGCTTCTTGAGGCTACAAAAATCTCCTATTAAGGTTGTAATTTTAAGAAAACCCACTGCCCCACAACAAATTCTCTATCAACCTTGTGAGAATCAGATTTCTTCTTCATCATGTTTGCAACCCGATGTAAATGATGCTTGAGGATGGCTAACATCTCTTCCCTTGCTGAAAAACTTCTGTCAACAGCTTCCAGAACAGAATTATGGGGTAAGTAGGAGTGAACAAGGGGTTTTTAACCATACAGTAGCTCATAAGGAGAGGCCCTCGTAAATGAGTGAAAATTGGTGTTGCACCACCATTCAGCTTGGGAAAACCATCTACTCCATTCCTTAGGTTTCTCCCAAGTCATGCACCTTAAATAAGTCTCCAAACACCGACTAAGGATTTCTGATTGTCCATCCGAGGATGGTGTGAGGAAGATAATTTCTGATCTACTCCCCTCACTCTTACAAATTCCTTTCAAAAATTACTCACAAAAATAGGGTCCCGATCACTAATAATCTCTGATGGAGCTCCATGTAATTTAAACACATGATCCAAGAATAATTGAGCCAATGTAGATGCTGAATATGGATGTGAGAGAGGGATAAAATGAGCATATTTACTCATTCTATTAATAATGACCCAAATAGCATCCCTTCCATGAGATTTAGGGAGCCCATCAATGAAGTCCATTGCAATACTTTCCCAAATCCTACTAGGAATAGGCAGTGGTTGTAGTAATCCGAGGGAAGCAGTGGTCTCATACTTACACTAGGCACACGTGTCACAATGTTTAATAAAATCTGCAATGTCATGGATCATTTTCTTCCACCAAAATAGACTTTTAACATGCTCGTATGTAGCTTGGATACCAGAATGCCCTCCCTAGGGACTAGTGTGCATCCATTCCAAAATCTGCTGTCTCAAGGCCTGATCAACCCCTACAACCAACTTGCTTTTCCTCATTAATTAGTCACCATCCCAAGAAAAATGGCTCCATTGGCCATCTTGCCGCTGAACCCTTTGGTTAATGGCAGAAACAACATCATCTTGATCCCAACTAGCTTTAATTTTATCCAAAAGTTCAGGGGAAGAAGTATCAAATGCCATTTGCAATAGTTGTTGTCGTCGCATTCTAGAAAGAGCATCCACTGCTATGTTATCATTCCTTTTTTTGTAGTGAATTTCATAATCAAAACCAGCAAGTTTGGCCACCCAAAATCGTTGAAAAGAAGTGTTGAGTTGCTGACCCAGCAAGTATTTTAGACTTTGCTGGTCAGTCTTAATGATAAATTTCCTTCTTCCAAAGTACTAATGTTATTATTGGACAGCCATTACTCCCACCATTAATTCCTTCTCATAGACCGAGAGCTTTTGATGTTTTGGGAACAGACCTTTGCTGAAAAATGCAAGAAGCTGTCCTTGCTACATAAGCACTGCTCCAATGCCTGATCCACATGCATCTGCTTCCACAACAAAGTCCTTGGAAAAATTAGGGAAGGTAAGTACCAGAGCTAAAGTAAGAGCATCCTTAAATTGTTAGAAAGCCTTACTAGCCTCTGGTGACCACAAAAACCCATTCTTCTTTAACAAATTAGTGAGAGGTCTGGCAATAGTGCCATAGTTTTTTATGAACCATCTATAATAGCCCGCCAACCGTAGGAATCCTCCTAATTGCTTCATATTGGCAGGTTCAAACCAATCTTTTACTGCCTGAATTTTTTCTGGATCGGTGGAGACCACTCCATTGCCAATAATGTGTCCCAAATATTCCATAGAAGTTGCTACAAAGATACACTTCTCCCTCTTCGCATAATAGGTGTTATCTCTTAAGATTTGCAGCACCATCCTGACATGAGATTGATGTTCTGCAAAAGTAGCACTATAAATCAGTATGTCATCAAAGAAAACAAATACAAATTTACGAAGATAGGGTCTAAAAATGGCATTGATAGCTTCCTAAAATGTGGCTGGAGCATTGGTTAAGCCAAAAGGCATGACCAGCTACTCATAATGTCTGGAGTAAGTTTTGAAAGCTGTCTTGTAAACATTATTGGGCTCCATGCTAATTTGATGGTAGCCAACTCTTAGATTGAGCTTGGGAAACCAACAAGCTGCACTTAGCTCATCAAGTAAGTCCTCCACAAGTGGAATTGGATATCAGTTCTTCACAATCTTTTTGTTCAAGGCTCGGTAGTCGATGCATATACGCCACAACCCATCTTTTTTCTTTACTAGGATGATTGGTGCTGAGAAGGGGGAAGAACTTTCTTGTCAGCCCCCTATTTGCAGTAGCTCAATGACAAGTTTCTCTATAACATCTTTTTGTGCAGCTGGGTATCTATATAGCTTAATACTGATAGGATCCGTGCCTTCTTGTAGTATAATAGGGTGGTTGTGACCTTCTCAAAGGGGTGGAAGCTCCTTAGGTTCCTTGAACAGATCCTGAAAATCACCTAGAGTATTTTGAATTAACGTGGCAGCATTTTCATCAATACTAAAAACTACAAAACACTCTAACTCCCTATTATTGGCCTAAACTAAATGCACGAAAAAATTTTGGTTGTGCTGAAGAAAATTCAGTTCTGCCTTCTTAGATTGAATAATCTGCAAGGGATTGGGGGGATTTGCTTGTACCTTGCATATCTGATCATTTTTTCCAGAAATACATGATCATTCTTTCATCATATCTGATCACACCCAACACCATATTGTAAGTATGTAAATCCAATATCCTAAAATCGAAGGTGAAGTCTAGTCCTTGCATTCTCCACTTAAACTCCCTTCAGAGCCCATGAACCTTCAACATTTTGCCTCCTGCAACTTGTAAACAAAAATCATGTGCATAATCAGTTTTCCAACCCAATTTTTGAGCTAGAATCAAATCAAGAAAGTCATGTTTACTCCCATCTATTAGAATCTGAATTGGACATTTTCCCATGTAGCCTTGTAATCTTATAGAGTCCGCATCATCCACTCCGCTAATAGCATGTAAGGAAAAATGGTTGGAGTGATTTCGTCTTCATCTTTTGCTAGACCCAGCCTTGGGTCATCCTCTAATTCTGCTTCTTCGCCATATTCAATGAAGGGCAGGAGCATCTTTTTTTGTTGGGAACATCTATGGTCCTTAGAAAACTTGTCATGGCAATAAAAGCATAGATTTTTCTGTCGGTACTCAGCCTCTTCCTCCGTTATCAATGGTTTGGACACCTTAAGAGGATTCTTGATAGCAAAGGAATGAGATTTAGTCATGACAAAGTTGAATTTTCCTTTCTAATAGGACCCACTAATTGCATGTCCTTCATTAGTCCAAGAAGACGTGTTACGCGGTCTTGGTGCCACCCAATTCACAGGTGTTGCAAGCTTGGGTCCATTTTCCCACAGTTTCTTCTCGCCAAAACACTCGTTAGTGAGTTCTTACATTCTTGCAAGACACTTGGCTTCTCTCATGGATTTGGGCTTGAACATACGAACTAGGCCGGCAAGTTCTTCCTTGATCAAGTTCAGATAAGCGTCGACCAATTGAGCTTGGTCGAATCCCACCTTAACCGAGACTCAATCAAATTCTTCGTTGAAGTCGGCGAGAGTTCCCTAGTGGCACAGTTGCAGAAGATGGCCAATTGGGTACTCGTAGGCCGGCCCAAAGCAATCCTTAAGGAGCGCGACATATTCTCTTCACACGCTATATGCCACTAGAAGGCATGATCATCCTGATGCAGGCTAGCAATTTTAACCTTCAAGTCATTTGCCATTTTATCTAATTCAAAAAACTGCTCACACTTAAGAACCCATGCCACCACGTCTGTCCACGAAAACTTTGGGAACTCCATCTTGGTGAACTGGGGCGCATGCTATTGTCCATTTCCACCCCCATTTGGTTTGCTTATAAGTCATGGCTGTTCGAGGCCATGGAGTGTCATGGTGACCTCCTCTAAATTTCGTGCAATTGCCTGAAGTTGTGTTGACATGTGAAAAACCGATTCTTGAAGTGCCACCACTGCGGTTAATTATTGTTCGACCGCTTGGAGTCGTTCATCCACGACTTTGTTGTTGGTCTTTGATCGTGTCCCAAGCACACAGAATCAGAGTTTGTAGGGATAGGCCGAGAACCTGTGGCTTTGATGCCACTTGGTACGTTCTTGGAATGAGAGGCGTAGGAAAAGGGAGAAAGAAGGGAAAGAGTGATAGAGAGAGGAAAAGGAAGAGAGGAACAAGAACAGAGGGGGTTGCCGGATAATCCTTGAATTCATTCAATAGTCAGTAGTACATCTCAATTTGATACACGAGTATCCTTTTATAGAAGGAAATTACCTAACAGAACTAACAGAAACAAATGTAATCAAGTTATTATCCAACGGCTACTCTAACCTACGTCAATTGTGCTATCTACCCTTGCTTATATAACACGAATTACAATTACATAATAGAAAGCCCTTTGTCTCGCCTCCAAGTGTTCCAACACTAGTTGTTTGTATAACTTTAACATATGTAACACGCACGCCTTTTTTTTCCCAAGACTATCCAAAATAAGTATCTTGGCACACTGTCACAACCCTTTTCCAAATTGTTAGAGCTTTGTAGTAGAGTTTTCAATTTTGCACTTTGATAGAATTGCTTTTATTTGTCAACCGTATAAAAGTAGAACTCGCAAAATCATGAAAAAGGAAAATTACTTTCTGCTGTGTAGGGCCTTGGCCTCAAGCTTCTTTCTGTTTTGGAGAAAGAATATTGAGCATATCAGTTACTTTAGGGTGGCTATAGGCCTGACTTAGGAAAAGGTTGTATTGGGGATTGTGTGACTCACTTTTGGGGCTTATATTAGCCGTGGATGTATCTGAGAGAAGGGGGACTTATTTTGTGGACTGAGTTTGGTGAGGAGAGTGCTGGCCTCTCGAATGCCAGGTTAGGGGTCGAGGAAGAGAGTCTTTCTTCATCATTTTCTCTATATTTGAGTGTGTATTTTAGTGTGTTAGTGAGTTGAGTGACCTTTGTTGTTTCATGTGTGACCTGTGCCAGTTATATATTGTATTGAACCCAGTCTTTTGTGTGATTAATATCAATTTCAGTATTGTTTGTCTACTGTTTTATCTTGGTCTCTATCACACTTGAACTACTATTTCCTATTTTTCTTACCAAAAGTGGCTTAGTAATTTATTGCAGAAATTCTTAGTTTTCTTTTATTTCCTTGTTTTCAAGTGTAAGAAGAAATTTTCTTAGCAAGGAAAGAGGAAGAATACTAGAGAATAGAATCACACAACTACCTAGTCAAGAGAAGCAGAAAACCAGAACAACGCTGCATTATCTGTTTATGCATTTTCTGACTTCTGACTAGATAAAATAATCATTGAAGACAAATCTTATTGTGAAAAATCAATGAGTTGCTCTAGTGGTTCTTCAACGTTGAATAATAAAAAAACTAGTCTAAATTCTCAAAATGTGACAACAGCCTAAAACACAATCTAAGTAACTTGAAGTCACGCCATGAATCAGCCACCATTCGATACTCATATAATCCTATATACTCACACCATTCATTCTTTGCTCAAAGTATTGTCTATCATGGAACTTCAGTCGTCAGAGATATTTCATGAATGAACTATGATATCCCTAACATAGCACCAAAATCACTAATTTCAAGCACAAGGAAGCAACCAGCATTAAGAAAAACTTCATGAAAAATCTTACCACAATCGAATGCAATCACAGGCTTCAATTTTATATCTTCCTCCTGTGGAAAATGTTTATGGAAAAGGGAGATAAGTAGCCATCTTGAAATCGAGTATGTAAAATAGCAAAAGATAGTGATTCGGACATCAAAGTAGATGGAATTAATTCAGTAGTAAATTATAATTGCAGAAACGTGTTTTATGTGTTTTATTAGATACTTCTAGTGAAATTGAAATGATCTACACCGATTAGCTTTAGGGACTCCGGTAGAAATCATCTTTATGGCTTCTGGTGTTCAGCTTAAAGCTCCTTTAATGGACCCTCCTTAACATCTATAGAAAGGGGCTTGCAGTTTGATGGACTAAAGAGCTCAATCCTCCAATGGGCTGAGTATACTAGAGAAGAAGGCCAAAAGATAGGAACCAGCCACCAAATGGCGACATGGGACATGGGCCATATGGAACATAAGGGAGGCCCATGGTCCAGTAACACTCAGGAAGATGGAGGGAGTCAGTTATCTAAAGTTGTATTTGTGGGATATCTTCTCTTTATTGTAAATATCTGACGGAGCCGGTGATTCCCAAATGATTAGGACATCATTTCCCAAGATCTATGGCAGAAAATCTGGGAAGGAAAGTGATTTAGAGAGGACTAAAACCAGTGGTTGAGATTTATCCCAACCTTTATAACCATGAGGCTAAAATGGCAATAGATTAATAGGGTATGTTCTACTAGAGGTTTAAGCAGTGCTACTAGGGGCAATGACTGCTTTTACCACTAGCCACATAAACTGCAATCATCAGCTGACTAATGTTCTCATGAAAGCAATCAGAGGCCCTGCATTTTCTATATTTGTGAGAACTTTAGCACACATGACTTGCATACCCCAAATTGGGGAGCGTTAACTATTGATTTTAGTATAGGTTACAATTTACTATAAATGCCTAGGGAAATCAAAATTTAGTGAGAAACATCCAAACATAGAATCAACATGCAAGTACAATGAACAAATGCCAACAAACAAAAAAGAGGTCATCAAACCTGGAACATTTAAACCATTCAAGAAGTCTTAAATTACCTTCATCAATAATAATCCCTTTAAAAAATAAATCAAAATCTATGCAAAAGCACAAATTCATGGCATTCTCACAATCAAAATTGAGGTTATTTAAGTCAAAGGATGATTAGCAATTTGATTGCTTTTAATAGCAAACAAACCAAATAAAATCACAATTTATACGTTAGGAAGCGGGGAGGGGAGGGGACTAGGAAAAACAGTAAAGGAGGTTATCTGCAGTAAAACAGGCATTACATTTTAATTACAAATACTTCACATGCCTCTACAATGAAAGCCAAAGGTTCAGAAGGGAAACTATCAAGATTTGAAAAAGAAAAAGAAAAGAAGAAATGTATAGCAGATCTCACAAGAAATAAAAAATTGAGAATGAAGAACGAAACATACCTTCATCTTCAGTTTCTTAGCACGTTTAGATACATGCCGTTGAGAGAGCTCCCTGCTTTGTTGATCCTATAAACAACAATTGAGGATAAAGGAAATTTGAAATAAAAACAAAAAATTGTCATAAACTTAGCATCCGTTAATGATAATATTTTCCCACAGTGCTAAGGGTGAAGCAGAGGTTTGGAAGGGCTCTTTAGATCTACACGTGACAGACAATCGTTGGTCTTTAATGAAGAAATGTAACTACACAGTTAACAATATTTCAATATGAAGATTAGCTTCGTAGCTTCAGCAAGAATATGTGTTTACTTTTGATATAGGATTTTTCCTCCTTTACGGTATGCATTTACCACAAATGGGGAAATCTTTCTCATCTGAAATTGCAAATTGAGGTGTTTGAATTTGCATCAATAGAATTCATAAATTTGATATACAATAGGATAGAAGTTACTAATAAAGTTAACTAAATGGAGTTCTTCCATTCTACCCATCACTAGAATAATTTGTTTCCACTGTTGTAGGAAGACCTCATAATTTTCCACATCCACAAATACGTATTTCATTTATTTACCAATAGCCTATATGAACAATTGACTTGATACAACCCCAATTGTTGCGGAGAGTTTAAAACAAATAAAGTGATTGAAAGATAAAAAAGGTAAGCTCGTTGAGGAAATTCATGATCAAAGCTCTATTTGCATAGCAAGGACCAAGCACCGACAATATGCTCAAAGTCAAAAATCCTACGGAAGTATCCAATCTGTTACAACGACACAGATATAAAACCTCTAACCCACTAAGTCAAGCATAATGCGGGTTGTCCCGGTCCCAGGACAGATACGGGATGACCTTGTCTGATTTTTAAATTTTAATTTTTGTCATGTTATACATGTGCGGGTATATATATCCATCAGCATTTTAATTAAAAATCACAGTAGTGTAAACTTCGGATAAATATTCACACCAAAAGACATCAGGTGCGCCCAACTATTTATATACAGATATTATCAAACAGTTTTAGTTGACTATTTAAAAAAAGATTCTTCTTTTTAAGTTTCATATAGTGATAGGACTCCAAGTCAGCACATTAACGCACCAGAGAAGAAATAGGGAGACTGGAGTAGTGGTTGAGTCTGTTTGCATCTTTTTAGGAGTTGAATGAGTCTTTTAGGTTTTATTGATTTTATTAATGATTTATTAATTGAATAAGGGGACTTTAGGTTGTTAGAGGTCCACCAACGTCTCTTTCTGTTAGTTCCAAGATATTAGGGATATTTACTTAATTCTTATATTTATTCAATTGTAATTTCTGCATTATAAATATGTTAGCCATCCTATAAGCTAACATATGAGAGAAATAAATATTTGTTCAGTAATTTGGAGATTCTCCTTCTGGCTACTAAATCTAGTTAAGTGAGATCCTTGCTTAAGTAAATTTTAGTAGATTTTATCCCGGCTATTAGTGAGTTGAGAGTGAGATTCTTGCCTCAACCCTCTACTAGATTATATTTCAGCTTTTTTTTTTATTCACTTAATCATCTAGCCATTCGGGTTCTACCATATAGTAATCAAAAATACAAAAATTGAAGATACTAGTTAAAGCTGTAACACTGTATTTGACAATTATATCCATGTCACAATGAGTTTTCCAACTTCGTCCCATGTCAGCTTCTTGATTCACAGGAAATTGTTTTATTCAAAATGGCAGATATTTTGCAATGACGTGCAGAAAATAATGTGATGAAATGAGAATATTACGCTCTCCTTTGATCAAAAAATTGTTATTTTGAGATTTTATTGTGTAAAGATTAAGGATGAATATGAGTGATTGCTAAATTGGAGAGCAAAGTTTCATTAGATTTTTTTCCGACTTCTTCACTTAAAAAAAAAAATTGGGTGGGGCGTCCCTATCTCATCCCAATCATCCTGATCGAGACGGAGACACTTCTAGGGCGGAACGGGACAATAGATGGAAATCCCCAGGACAGAACCGAGCTGTCTCATGGACACCCCTAAGCTTCAGTATTGACAATACAGGTTTGATGCATTTAATCCAGAGTCACAAATAAATTGTGCTGTCACATCAATATAAAAATGACAACTTAACCATGAGAATATCAAAACACAAATATAATATGCACTATGGAATATATTTATTGGATATCCATGGTCACCTTCACAAAATATTCTAGAGAAGACCAAGAATAAGGAACACAGAAATATGCAACAGTCAGTTCATAACTTAAGCAAACTTCACTGACCAAGAGCAAGCAAAAGAAAACAAAAAATCATGTCAATTTCTGAAAGCTAACAAACCTGAACTATAGAGAAAAGACGAAAGGCACGATCCTGACCAGCAGAGAGAATATGTCTCCCATTGGCATAAAACCTGCCGTATATGATTTACATTAAGTGTGATTTGAGTGATGGCATACCACACACAAAAGCAGATGTAAAAACTTGATAACCAATGGGTTCAACTCAAATAAGAGAAATTTGAAAGATCCTTAAAATACTGGTGAACATGACACAAATCATTAAAAAATGATAAAGGTCTTTTAGGTAACCAAATTCACCATCAGAAATTTGGACATGATGACAACTCAGAATCAGTAAAAGTGCCAAAGAATAATGATGACAGTTTTTATAAACTGCTTGATGTTTGAAACATTGATTTTGACGAGTAGAATTTATGTTTCAATTCTATTGTGAGGCTCACTTGCTAGCCTGCTGAGTTCACACTGCCACAGTCTTGTCTTGTAAGAAATACCAATTCTTATAGGAAGTCTTGTGTTGTTTAACATAGGAAATATGCAACTCTGCTGCAGTCTTATTACGTCTAGTTTAGTTCCTTATAATAGTTTTCTAGAAACATAACAATCAAAACAAGGAGAATTATAATAATTACAATAATTATATTAAAAATTATAATAATTAATAAACATCTATGTGAAGGGAAAAAGCATATGGATGAGATGAAATGGTGAAATCTTTAATACTCTCTCCAGCTTTTGAAGAACAAACTGCTTTTAACTTACAGATGCCTAAACAATGATAAATGCGTCCAAAACTAAAATTAACACAAAGAAATGATTATTACTTTATGCAGAGTGGCGGAGCACTATGCCCAGAGCGAAAACGCAGAAGGCGAGGATCGCCATCACTTGTGTCAAAAATCCACATCTAAAGGAAAAGGAAAAACAAAACAAAAAAGTCATACATATATAGGAATATGTAATACTTTGATTATTATTATTCTAATAATAATATTAAAAAATACACATGGTACTAGATGCTACATCATCCTTTTCTGAATACAGACAGGTCAATAGAAGATGTTACAATAAATAAAATAAAAAAAAAAGGAAAGAGATTAAAGGCACATAAAAGAAAATTAAGGCAGAAATTCTAAGTTAGCACAGAAAAGGGAAAGATTCCATCAACACTTCTTTACAAGGTCAATCACATGATTGCATCTAATCTTGTCATTAGATCATTAAACTATTAAAGACATGATCAAATGATGAAACCTACCCTCGGCTGAAACACTAGAGCAGTTACACAGGTTATGCTAGGGGTATCCTGGGTGGGATTAGGGGAATCCCCTGTTACTCAACTACAGCCTTCCCTCTATTCATTCTTGTGGGAAAGTGGGCTACTGCCTAAAGCCCCAAAACCAAATGCTCAACCTAATTTCCTAAGTTTTATTACAGAGAATATTTTGTAATAAATAGCAACGGTCAGATTAGAGGAAAATCTGATTATTATTAGTGTTCCATGTTTTTAGAAGGAATAAAATCAAATCTATATTAATTAGGAGGACATAGGATCAGATTAGCATTAATTGGGTTGATTCCTATTTCCCTTATATGTTATGTAATCAAATCCTCAATGAATATACAAAGAATTATTATTCAGAAACTTTCATGGTATCCGAGCTATGAGAAAGAAAAGCACTCTCAATGTCTTTCAAGGCTGCACTGCAGCAGCCACACGGTTTTACTGCCGATGCAAGTAATATTCCTCCTTCAAGGCAAGGTTCAACTTCACAAGGTGGCAGAACAGTTAGGAGTACGCTACCACTAGGTTTGCTGTCGGATACCTTCTCTCAAATGCATGTTACCCATCATCTAAATGGGAACAATTACTTTAAATGGTCTCGCCATGTTCTCATGTTTGTTCGTGGTCGCACCAAGGAGAAATATCTCACAGGATCGCCCCCATCACATGCTTCTACTGATCCACAGTTTCCTACGTGGTGTGGAGAAAATAATCTCGTAATGGCATGGCTCGTCAACTCCATCACAGTTGAGATTGGTGAAAACTCTCCCCTTGCTACAACAACCAAAGAAATTTGGGATTCTGCAGCTTATTCTAAAACAGAAAACCGCTCTATTTCAAGTCAAATGCTTGCTTCATGATCTGATTAAAGGTGAACAATTTGTAACTCAATATTACACAGCATTAATAAAACTTTGGCAGCAAACAGACCTTTATGAGGTCCATGAATGGTCCAGTCCCACAAATGCCATGCATTACAAAAAGTTGGTGGATGGGAATGGTGTTACAAGTTTCTACATGGAATAGATGATCCCTTTGAAGATGTGAGAGGACGAATCATGAGTCTTAAGCCTCTTCCCTCATTTATAGAAGCTTTCAATGCTGTCAAGTTTGAAGGAAGCAAGAAGGTATTGACCAATTCCTCCTCTCTTTCTTCCACAAATTCTAACGATTCATCTGCTCTTGCTATAAGTGGCCCCCAAGGGGACACTAAAAACAAGAAGTCTAGCAAATGGTGTGACCATTATCACAAGAGCTGACATACACATGAGAAGTATGTTAGAAGCTTCATGGGAAACCTCCAAATAGCAAGCAAAAAGGGCAAAATAGAATGCAAGGGCTTAATGGTAGGTTCCTCTTCTGCTAATAGTGGTCTCTTAAGCCATGATGAGCTACTATGTTCGCAAAAGTTGTTGGACAAGCACTCTACTACCTTTATAAGTGAGACCCCTACACTCTCTGTTACTCTAGCCCATGCAAGTACTACCCTAATTTATGCTCTTAGTAGTGTGACTCCATCTAAGAATTTATGGATTCTTGACTCCGGTGCCACTGATCATATCACTAAATTTAAAGAGGTCTTTTCTGATTTCGGTCCTTTTTCTGAACATAATAATGTAGAGGTTGCTAATGGGCAGTTTTCCAGGGTTCTAGGTTCTAGAAATGTTATTATCTCTGAAAATATTATGCTGCAAAATGTCCTATATGTCCCTAAAATCAAGTGCAGCCTGCTGTCAGTAAAATGAGTTATTGATCAGTTGCATTGCTTTGTTACTTTTGATAATATTAGTTGTGTTTTTCAAGACTTGGGTATTGAGGAAGGTGATTGGTGCTGCTAAAGTCTGGAATGGACTTTATTATATCTAAGGATTTTCACCAAAAGTTTCTATTTCTTGTTATGTTGCATCTACTATGACAATCAATGAAATAATGTTGTGGCACTCTAGGTTAGGCCACCCTACTCCTAGTTATATACAAGTTTTATTTCCTTCTATCGATAATAAATCTGTCGCTGATTTTTTGTGATACATGCCATTTTGCAAAACAAATTGGACACTCTTATCTCCCACAACCCTATACCCCCTCTCACCATTTTTCCCTTGTTCATAGTGATGTTTGGGGCCGTTTTTAACTTTAATAGATGATCATACAAGATTGACTTGGGTTTTTCTAATAAAAAATAAGTCAGAAGTGTTTTTTGTTTTTTAAAATTTTTATGCTTTTATCAAAAATCAATTCCAGACTTCAATCAAAATATTATGGCAAAGAATATTTAAATTCATCTTTTAAAAAATTTTTAACCACAAATGGCATTCATCACCAAACCTCTTGTATCTATTCTCCCTAACATAATGGAGTCTGTAAAAGAAAAAACAAATATCTTTAGAAGTTGTTAGAGCCCTTATGATAAGAGGCAATGTTCCTAATAAAAAAAAATAATTTTTTTTGGGGAGGGGCGCTATACTTACCACTGCTTATTTGATAAATCGAATACCTTCAAAAGCACTGTAACTTCTCTTCCAAAGAGGGTTTTTGGGTGTACTGCTTTTATTTATAATGAACACAGGGGGAAACTGGACCCTAGAGCTATTAAATGTATTTTTCTTGGTCATTCCTCAAATCATAAAGGTTACAAATGCTACTCTCCTGTTACCAACAAGGTTTACATTACAATGAATGAATGTCAAGTTTGTTGAATCTCAACCATATTATATCCCAAATCATCCATTCAGGGGGAGAACAAGGAAAGTGACTGGATAATTTGTGAGTACCAGAAAGGTTCTTAAACAGACCGGCAAATAGTTGGATATATACATTATGCCTTCCTCCTGTGCAGAACCAACACACAACTCCCAAAACAGATCTGACCATACACCAACCAACATCGAAACTACCCCAAACAGATCTGTATACCAAGATACAAATCCTTTTGAGCCTCTAAACTCTCTATGACCAGCTATGGTTGAAACTATGGAAAACCAACCTATTAACACCACAAAACAGCAACGTGACTGTACATCTATGCAGCAACGTGACTGTACATCTATGCAGCAACAGAACATTATTGGCCTATTGCCCTAAGAAAAGAGGGGGGGAAAAGCTGTACTCAACATCGCATCAGTAAGTATATCTCATACGGTAAGCTCTCGCCCCACCTAAAAACTTTTGCAGCAAATGTAGAAAGTGTGAAAAGTCCTAAAACTTTCAATGAGGCTGTTATAGACCTACATCGGAAACAAGCCATTGGAGAAGAATTGAGAGCTTTACAAAAGAATGGAACCAGGAAAATTACAAATCTTCCTAAAGGTAAATCAATGGTGAGTAATAAATGGGTATTCACAGTTAAATATAATCCTGATGGATGTTTATAAGGCATGTTTGGTTGCTAGAGGGTTTATTCAAACTTATGCGATAGATTATCAAGAGACTTTTGCCCTTGTAGCTCAACTTAATACTATAAATGTTTTCTTATCTCTTGTTGCAAATTTAGATTGGTGTTTACACCAACTTGATGTTAAAAATACTTTTCTTAATGGGGACTTAGAAGAAGTTTACATCAAGATTCTGTTATGTAATTACAATTATAAATAAGAAAATACTTAAATATGATATAAATAGGGTTTAAATAAATATTATTAGGATTTAGATAGCATTTAATTATATTAGTAGGATTTGGATAGATTAGGATATCCAGATAACATTTAGATAATATTAGGATATTTACTTAGATTTATATCTATTAGGGCTTTTGCTTATTAATAAGTATTTGCTATTCTTTGTAACTTAGTTTTTGCAATGTGATTAGAAATTATTCAGTTTCTCTTGATCCTCTACTCTTCTCTGTTTCTATTGCTCTTTTTCCTTTCTCTTTCCTCTTTCTCTCTCATATTTCTTTACTTTCATAACAGATTCCTTTGGGAAAAGAAACTCAAATAATTTTGGGAAAGTGTTTGGGCTACACAAATCTTTGTATGGGCTGAAACAGTCTCCAAGGGCTTGGTTTGAGAGGTCCTCTCGAGCCATCAAAGGGTTAGGCTATAAACAATGCCAAGCCGATGATACCCTATTTGTTAAACACCATGATGAAAAAATAACTATGCTTATTGCTCATGTTGATGATATACTTTTGATAGGAAAGGATGAAAAAGAAATCACAAAGCTAAAAGGAGACTTAGCAACAGAATTTGAGATCAAAGATCTTGGCCCATTAAGGTATTTTCTACGCATGGAGGTGGCGGGAACTCATAAAGGGATAAGTGCATCACAACATAAGTATATACTTGACCTGCTAAAAGAAATAGGGCTGTCAACCTGCTAACACTCCAATGGAGCTGAACCAAAAGCGAACAATCAAGCCATATGGTAAGGTAGTAAACAAGGAGCAATATCAAAGGCTAGTGCAGAAACTTATTTGCCTATCCCACACAAAGCTTGACATATGGTATCCAGTGAGCATGGTGAGCCAATTCTCAAATATTCCTCAAAAGGAACACATGATCAGTCTACAGAATACTGAGGTACCCGAAGAAGACCCCGGGACAAAGGTTGTTCTTTGCAAAGGGTACATCTAAAGAAATTGAACTATTCATTGATACTGACTGGGCAAGATCAAAAAGAGATAGATGATCTACTACTGGTTATTGCTCTTATGTGTGGGGAAATTTTAGTCACTTGGAGGAGTAAGAAACAACCAGTGGCATCAAGGAGCTCAGCCAAATCAGAATATAGGGCCTTGGCCCTACGTATTTGTGGGGGGGAAAGGCTTGTGAGACTCTTAAAGGAGCTTGAAATTGAGGTTAACGCTCCAATGAGAGTTTGGTGCAATAATGTGTCAGCAATCAAGATTGCTAATAATCCAGTGCATCATGATTGCACAAAACATGTGGAAATTGATTGCCACTTCATTAAAGAAAGGATAGACAGTAAGGTAATTGATCTAGCTTACATTCCCCCAAGAAATCAGATTGCAGACGTGATTACAAAGTCTTCAACTCAAGAAAAATTTGAAGGTTTCAGAAGCAAGCTAGGAATGATTAACATCTATTTGCCAGTTTTAAGGGAAGTGTGGGAAAGTGGGCCTGCTGCCTAAAGGCCCAAAACCAAATGCTTAACCTAATTTCCTAAATTTATTACAAAGAATATTTTGTAATAAATAGCAATGGTCAGATTAGAGGAAAATCTGGTCATTATTAGTGTTCCATGTTTTTAGGAGGAATAGAATCAAATTTGTACTGATTAGGAGGCATAGAATCAGACGTGCATTAATTGGGTTGATTCCTACTTCCCTTATGTAATCAGATCCTAGGTGAATATACAGAGAATTACAATTCAGAAACTTTCAATTCTATGGGGGGGGGGGGAATCCATAGTGCAGAGGGCTGACTCATCAATCAAGTACGGTCAGCATGCCCTTTTTATCTTAGTCCCTAATAGAAGAGAGCAGCACCATCAATCATTGGTATGCAGAGATATTCAACAACTTTGCCACATGATTCAGTTTCAATCTTTCCCCCCTTGTTGAAGTTTGAATTCTAGCACTTTTTATAAGGAGGATGCTACATCCTCTTGTATACTTTTTTCCTTCCTCTTAAGAAAAATGCCTTCATAAAAGCAAGTCTTTCTTTAATAAAATAATTCTACTTTATTTATTTAGAACAGAAAACTTGTTAGAAATAACATTAAATTCAACAAGTAAAATTTAAATCCACAAGAAAAATGTTATGGTCACAAAGTTACATGCTTTGACGGCATAAAAACCAGTTAACTGCAACAGACTACATATAACCCACCCAACATAAAGTCTAATGTTGATGCTGCAGCTATATAATTGGCATCAAAATTATACAGTTCAAAGAAGTCGACCAAGTCATTGAGCAAAGTAAAACAGATTTGTAGTGATTAGCATAAGGTTGCAAATACTTAAACTTACTTTCATCTATTGTTTTATTTCCAAAGCAAATAAAACAAATGTCTAGAGTTATACCCAACAAATAATAGCCATCCACACATAATATTTGTTAAGAGATTTAGTAAACATACAAAATCATCTTGTTTAAGAAGCAAAAAATGATTGCCATATGTCTTGATAATAAAAATAATCTTACTTTAATAGAGTTGTCTTCTGAAGAACTCATCAGCACTGGCTCCTTAGGAAAAAAATGTAACGAAGTTATTGATCCATCATGAGCCTCTTTTATGACAGATTGGAGCCTCTTCTTTTCCAAATTCCATATGTTTACAACACCAGATGAACCTCCCGAAGCAAGAAGAGGTTGCCCGTCTAAAAAAAACAGAATAGCAAGTAGACAAGTGTAACGTTAAAGGTCTAAATTACAGTGTTCTCTCAATTGGACCTAAATCTAGTTACAACCAACCAGAATGAAGATAGGAGATAAACAAATATAGCATTTTCACTGTAATTTAATCCTTTTTACAAATTAGTTCTACATCTATTTTACTTCAATTCAAATCACCATAAAATGTGAAAATGAAAATTTGTCTTGCCTGTAGTTCATTTACAAATCCTTTTCACAAGAAGAGGAATCAATCAAGATTTCCATGTTGATAAAAATAACTATCAAAACAAGGGGGGAAAATCCTGTCCACATTGTACAGTTCTTTTAAGATAGAACCATAGTGACATGCAATGCTTACCATTGACAAATTAAAATAACAAAAAGAAAATTTTCAAGCACTTACCAGTGCTAAAAGATAAGGCAGTCGCAGAACCCCGCGTAGAGTGGGTAAATGTAAATAACTCTTCATCATATCGAAGGTTGTGAACATGAATCCTTCCATCTGCACAACCAACAGCAACAACATCGAGGGCAGGAGAAGATATGCAAGACATGATAGGTGAATTCCATCCCTTAAACTCATATATTTTTTTCCTTGTGCTGATGTTCCAAAGTTGCATCGCACCTTGTTCACTCCCAATAAGAACCTGTTGAAATGCTTCCGTATTACACAAGATGATTGCATATCTAAATTGAACAAGTTCTAATCAAAAAAAATTCTCCATAAGGAAAAAGATATTCACCTTGTTAAGGTAAGTATCTGGATGCATTATACAACTAACGGTAAACTTATCATCTAACTTCATGGGCCCAAATGGAGCAAGGTTCTGATCAATCCCCTTAAAGGCCCATATGTACATATCACCATGGGCATCAACACTAATGATATGCTCCCCAAACAAAAGTAAGAAATTGACTTTAGCATTATGTTTCCTCCAAGTTGCTACCTGAAAGAGGCATGGCATTAACTTCAATCCGAAAAAACACTAAATCCATTTCCTTCGAGCATTTCTTTTGGCCAGTTGCTATCAATTTGATTGGTGATATTTTATTCCAAATTTTCAAACTCAAGCTTATGAAAATTCAAGAAATTTTTGCATAATAAAATTGAGCAACCTAGCATGAAGAAGAAGAAAATTAAAAATAAAAAAATATAACATATATTTTAAAACGGTAAACCAGTCAGTGGTAACTTTGAACAAACAACATTAAGGACCTAGCATATTTTTCTTCTATTTATTTCTGTGTTAGGGAAGGGCAGTGTTTGCAGCATATCATGGAGAAAACCTGGTGCGCTCGCTTGAAAACTGCAATGTCATTTCCATATGCAGCAAAAGTGTATTCTCTGTAGGAAGCAAGAGCTCTAATCTTCTTTGGCAGCTGAGGACCTTTCATAAAAATAGAACATTCCAATAAAAAAGGATTGATCCATAAAATATGTGTGAATGAAAAATTAATAAGGAAACATAAGCCTCACCAACTTGAACCAAATTGAGCTTTGCACACTGCATAGAGAAAGTGCCACATTGACAGTCAAGTTGATTGAAAGTTATAGCACAAATGATGATATGATCAATACAACCAGACCAAATTAACATCAACCTATTCAAAAAATTATAAGCACTCTAGACATTACAAAATAAAGATCAGCATCAACATATTTAAAAGGCTTTGAGCAATAATGAAATTACGTTGTAAATTTGAAAGGCCTTCCCAACGCTGACTGTGACAAAAGTTTCAGTACCAAGTCTTTGAACGGACACAGGGACAATGCTTGTTATGTATCCAATTGCTCTGTAGGGTTCAAATATACCCATCTTTTGCTTCAAAAATAGTAGAAAAGGAGAAGCCCTGAACAATAACAAGGAGAAAAAAAAATTGTTACTAGGAAGGCCACGGGTAGGGGTGGAAACAGGCCAAATCAGGCCTGGCTTTCCTCTTTGAAGGCCTAGGCCTACTAGCTTGTTTATGGTTTTTTGAAAAATACAGGCTTTTAAACAGTCTTCAGGCCAAGCCAGCCTTTTGTACAAGTCAAGCTTAGTCTGAAAAATAAGCCTTTAACAGGCCACAGGCCAGGCTCAAGCTGATTTGTTACAAGACAGGCCAAGACTATTAAGAGGAAAGCTTGGCATGGCCTGTTTCCACCCTTACTAAATAGTAAACACAAAGAAAAAGCAATTGTTCAAGATTAGTTGATTGTAAAAGTCAAACATGCAGCAACTCAAGCAATTAGACTGGAACCTGAATAGTACTAATAATACAACAGTATCCTTGATTTGAACCTTCAAACGTACCATACAGCTTCACAGTACATTCTCAAAAATGATTGAGCATAAATATCAAATTAGACAAGGAACAAAGTAGACCAAATAGAAAGCCACTAGATTCCAACGCAAAAACAATCGATTTAGATGGTCCCCCAGGAACAGGGAAGTCATTTTTACCAAAGGCTGTATAGCCACATAGGCAGAATCACCATTCATTATATATACTGTATTGCATTCCTCATGGCGCAGATGTCGGGGGTTGGCTCATTATGGAATGAATACTGTTATATCGAACTCAATCAAGGATGTCTTAACCAAAAAGCTATTTCAATTTTCAAATTAATCTTCTTTAAAGTGCATATCGATATTCCCAACTTATGTATTGCATTTATAAACTTTAGCTTTTTGGTTTTGTTTAGTCAGACTTCAATTTCTAATGTACCTTTATATAATAACTTCGACGCTTCTTGGTTTATCCTGTATATATTGCAAGTTAGAAAATTTTAAGTTCGACTAATAGTGAGAGAAACTAGAAACAAAGAAGAAACGGGAAATCTGAATCAACGAAGAAAAGGATATAAAACCAGGAATATGAAACCAGATGGTTGAGGCATGTGAGAGCAAGAACAAGGATAAAGAACATAAGAATCAATATGATCTAGGAGAGATATTCACCTGACGACAATGAAGATGGGTAGAGGAAGAGAGGCGGCGGCGCCGGTGTCTGCAGGGGCGGGTGGCGTCGACGACGACTGGGGGAGAGGCAACAGGCACCGATGCGGAAGAAGAGCGGCTGAACACCGAAGAGAAAGAAACGAGAAGGGCTTACAAGTTGAAAGGGCAACACCGGAATATCATAAAGAAGCTATGGGAGAATTTCTGTCGAATAAAATATTGCATAAAAATAGTGTCCAAAAAAAAAAATTACTTTCATCCATCTCTAGCTTCTTTTTTTTTTTTTTTGTGCCCAGAAGCATTTCTAGCTGTGTTACTTTGAGCCTATTTGGTTTAATTCCATTGCGTATATAGAATGCTAATCCTTATTGTATTAGTATAAATGACAAGTTTGGTTTTGTGTAATGCTAATAAAGGAGATTGTATTGGTAACAAGGATGGTACATTTTTTGGGTAATATCTATATCCAAAGAGGACCTATAAATGATCATCACATAGCTGTAATTATCCTCAATAACTCATGTAAAAAGACGTCATTTGCCCTTAATATTTATCCTTTGCATCCCTTTCTCTCCAAACCCCCTCCTTCATCTATTTCCCTCTCCAACCGTCGTCTTCTTCCCTCCATTGACCGTATTAATAGGATTCCCCCTTATTTTTGTCTTACTTTTTCACCTATTCGAAGCAATCGTTAATGAGATTGCATTAATAGTTTTTGAATGAAAGTCGGAACCTGCATCAAAAATTCTAAATTGTTTATCACCGGTTTTGTACTAGAATCGTAATTCATATTAGAGATTGACACATTAAAATCGAGGATGAACCCTTAAAATAATCCTCCTCATATCGCAAAGCTACACAGAATATGCCACATCGACCTAATTACTCTATGAATTCTCTTTATGCTCTAAGATTGAGTTCATGGCAGCTAATCTCACAATGCTTGAAGCCGTATCAGAGGAGAAACCATTTAGTGGAAACAAGATCCATGTGGCTTATTTTGGCATTAGAAAAGGAAATCATTACACGAGTCTTCCCAATATATTGACCACACATCAAAATGGGAAGCCAGCAACTACTGGGAAGTTCCTTAGCGTTGCTGAAAATGATGTGGAAGAGGGGTTGAAGATGGCTGGTGGGTGATATATTAAGCTTTTCTTTACCTTTTTACTAAGGGCAATATGGGTCTTTCATTATTATTTTATCTGGTTAAATTTCAAAAATAATTTTTTGCCTTATCTTCTTAATAAGCTACCAAACACATTAATGGAAGTAAAGATTGCATTGCATTAATATATCTAAGGATCAAGGAATTGAACCAAACGAGCTATTCATGTAAAGAAAAAGTACATTTAAGTTTCCATTAAAAAAAAACCATTAAAGTAAATCAGCTATAAAAGCCTGTAGGCTTGTACAGTATCCATGAAGATAAGCAAAGCACTAGTGGACGGATAGTAGTTCTGTTTTGACAACTTTAATTAGCATATGAGACAAGGTGCTTAAATATCCTAAAATTATTTATGAAGGAGCACTCAACATCTGAAAATACTTTTTCTCGCTCTTATATAGCTTAAAAGTTTTATTTAGTAGCATTTTTAACCTGAATTATTATCTTCTGTTAAGTTTAACTGTTAAAGATATTGGTCAAACCACATAATTTAACTGTCAAACTTAAAGACAGATAACAATTAGGATAATTTTGCTATAAAAATTAACTTTTAGAGCATATAAGAGCCAAAAAAGCTTCCAGAAAATATAACAGCCAAAAAACTTCTTTTATTATTGGGTGCTCCTTCATTGATATTTTTAGGATATTTAAACACCTTATCCTATTAGCATATCAATAATTAAATTAGTCCAATCCCACCATATCAACAATTTTCCCTCCCCCCCCACCAAAAAATAATAATTTTATTGAACCAAACAACCTTATCTCTCCTTTTTCACTCCTTCCCTTTTTCTACTCCTAAAAAAACCCCAACCAATCATTGCATAAGTGGAAGAAGATTAATTTTAATAAAAGAGACTTTTTATCTGAACTGATTTTTGCAAATTGAAATTAAAATAAAAGTCAGTTAATATAATATGATTTATGTTTTAATATTTCTTTTATAAAAAAAATCAGTTTAACGTATGAAAAATGATTAAGAAAGATATAAATTTTATAATGTATGCGCCTATATTATTATATTATATGTATATAATTTGATAACTTTAAGAGAAAAATTAAAATTAAAATTATTTAAAAAAGTTATTAATGTATTACTAGGAAAAATTTGCAAATATTAAAAAATACTTGATTGGATATTTAATGGATAAAAATGTATACAAATTCTAGAATCATGAGAAAGTTAATTTTTTAACTAATTAATAATATTGCATTATTACATATGTTAATTTTTTTTTTTGGCCGAAGAGGTTAAAAGATTATTTTCATGCATTTCTAGCTCTTTTGACTCTATGTATAGAAAAAAACTTTTTTTTATGAATAGATATACAAAAGGAAATAGACCTATTTACTAGAAAAAGTAACCGTCCTAAACATTGAGAAAATGTAATCCTCTAACTAGAAACTCATCAAACTTAAAGGAATGTTAACACCATTATCATGTTAATTAAAGGAAATGGGTTGCAAAAATTGTTCCAAATTTTCTTGCTCTATCTCATAACCATAGTATAAAAGAATAAGGCAACCAATCAACATCGTAACATATCATGGTTATAAAAGAGTCCCACTCCATGTTAGGAAAGGATTATATCCCCTAACATGGTTATAAAAAGCTTCTTATGTACCTGATTAACATAGTTGTGACAAATAATATAACAAGACTAAATTTAACTTATTTCAAAGCAATCCTCAGTAATATTCAATTGCGGATCCTCGGCTCGCAAAGGCTCTCGACAAGAAATTTATAATTTAGAACATATAAATAGTTTCAATATTGAGAATATACAAAATGTATAAAGATGTCCTAGGTGACAAATAACTCATAATTAAACATAATAAGGTTCGAAGCATGATCACCAATGAAAGTTACCTCACGCCTCCAGTTTCTTCCCCATTGTGACTCTTTGACTGCTCTTACTTAAAAATGGTAAATATAACAAAATGAGAGTACTGTCTCAATAATAAAAACTCCTATCCACCTAAGAGGCGCCAAATGAGACTAATAGTTAAAATAATCATTAAACACATTACTATCACGTAATAGGTAACATATATCACAAACATATAAGCTAAAAGAAACATTAACATATATGCATGCTTTAACCATAATTTATTATCTATTATTAATCATTCAATTCTTGCCTTATATCCTCCGTATAACTACCGACTTGAACTCATTGGCTAAGTCCTAATTGTGTGACTAGTGACTCTCACAAGCTTCTCACACATGTGATGCAGACCGACGAAAGTCAGTAAAATACATACGGGCCATGGGTTCATCCGAAGAAGGGATGTGCAGCCCCAATGAGTTTATTTCTAGTACCTTGTTGTGTACACTACCTTCAGGGTATGCTGCCCCGAGATACTTCTGGAATATTGCAAATGGAGGTGTGCTACCTTCTCTAAAAGGGCTAACTAGAGTATACGCTATAAAAGTAAACCACGTGGTGTTATGTTATATTACCATTATATCACCTCCCCACATTAATATATAAATTACAATTACATTATAACATTTCTTAATAATTACCTGCTTCCCAAGCACATAAGCACATACAGGGTTTATAATAAAAGGACCAGAGGAGTACGTCATATTATAGTTCTATCATGTATTTCTACCCCAAAAAGATTGACGTGTAAAGATGTATTTTCAATAGGGGTGTTCATCAAGCCCGCTAGCCCAGTATGCCTGCCCGAGCCCGTGAAAAAATAGCCCTGCCCAGCCCGAAAAAAAACAGCCCAAAGAAAAATGGGCATATTATGGGCTGGGCTGGGCTGCGGGCACGGTGTGCTACCCTGCCAGTTTGACCCTGCCCGTGATATATATATTTATAATTCTTTTTTTTCCAGAAATACTTATAATGATATATAATATATATAATAATATATATTATTCTCTCCTCTTTTATTTGTCCTAGATACATTTAGTGGTATGTGTAATTCTTCCTTCTTAGTATCTTTTTAATGTTTTTCTAATCTGGTTTAGTATCTTTTAGTTTGTTTTCATTGTTGGTTGTCTTGCAAAGATGCAAAAACAAGCTCACTTTAGTGTTGTATTAAAAGATATATCAATTTAAGACAAATCAAAGTTATTGATTTGTTGAATTTATTGTTTATTCAAGTATTATTTCTTTATAGTTGTTATAAGATACCCTTACTTCAACTAAAAAATTTTTCACCAAGGTATCACTATTTGGACTTGGAAGCCTGCCCTGCCCAACCCGTTATTACCCAGCCCGAAATGGTTAGGGCTTCTATGGGCAGGGTAAGGTTTTGCAGCCCGCTCATCTTTCGGGCACTCCTAATTTTCAATATGTTTAGTAAAATCAGAAAAAAAAAATTATATTGAAAATGAAACTGGACTTGTTCATTTTTTTTTTCCAAATCTAATCCTTTCATGTTTTGAGGAATTGGATTTTTTGGTGAATTTTATAAGCATATGTATCCTCCTATTGAAGACAATATTTTTTTTTTGTTGCCCAGAATATCTTCCCACCTGAACGATAAGATACTAATATCTCGGGATAGTGTCAAACACCATAGTGAGGACCCCTCCCAACAGTGTTTTTCCATGCGCACCGCTCCAAGAATCGAACCCAAGACATGATGTTTAAGGTGCCCAAATCTCTTCCACTTGGACTAACACTTGTTGGTTATTAAAGACAATCATGTTCGGGATATTATCGGGTACTAAGTATTGATGATAATAGAAAGTGGGCTAACTCACATGGCCCACCAGAGTTGATAAAATCTCCATCAACTCAACTTGTCCCATTTTTTGCCAGGCCCAAAGTGGGCTGGTCTCGGCTCCCACCTATATGACCAAGCCTAAAGAAATCCGACTTCTAAAATTGTGTCATCATCAAAGAGAGCCTCAACAAACATCACTTAGATTTAGTGAAAGAAACTAGCTAGTCTCTCATAACATGATGAATCAAAGTTCAAATTTTCACTGAGAGATGTACCTACATTAAATCCAACAATACATTGAATAGGATTACTTTTAATAAGAGTATATCTATGCTTAGGGAAAAAAAATCAACGAAGCCTCAACTAAATTATTTATAGTATGATGTGGAAATATTAATACCTTTATCTGGACAGAGCTAGTCTATTTTAAATTTTTGGATCACAACGTACTTTTCGAATTGATAATAAACTTACCAGCGCAATGCTTGCTGACATGATACCACGTCAGGGTTTAAAAAAAAATCCCCACAAAAACATTTTTAAGGAAAAATGTTCCTTTTCACCATAACATGATACTGATACTATCTTCTAACTGACATCGGGATCCCTAAATAAGTAAATACAACTTTTATTCTTTAACTTCAAAGCCTCATATCTTGAATTGTGGATTTTGAATTAATTGAGTTTATTAGACATTATTTAATTATTGGTTATTTTTGGGAAAAAAAGTATAAATATTAAAAATTTTGGGCCAACTCATTAATATTTTTAGTTTTCTAATTTTCATGTGGCTTGATATTTTAAATTATGTTTCACGGAAGATTTTTTTTTTTTGGCATAAAATGTTTCACGGAAGATTGAATCTTTGAATGTCATATTGTGTCACACTAATTTCCCGAGTGATTAAATTTCAGATGACAGTGTTCATTTCATAGAGAATTTTGAATTATTTTGAATTTAATTTTTTTCTCCCTCTTCCCAGCACTATATTATATTTTATTTGTTTTTGAATATTTAGTCAGAAAAATACTATTAATGGTAACTATGAACACGAGAATGCCATTGAGGTCCCGAAAAACAAAAAGAATACGTGGATATCATCTTTTAATAAAATATGAAGAGATATTTCAAATAAAACCTCGCAATGACATAATATTTATTAAATATAGACTTCATAATGTATGTTTTAAAATTAAAATAATCCATTACGATTCGTTGATTATCTATTTATCCATGATGTGACAACGTATGAAATAAACCATTTTTTTGGTGAATGAATAAATTATTTTTTATTATTTATTAACATTGATAAATTTTGTATATCTTTTTTCGAATCTTTCAAAAAATTAAAATATTTCCATGCCCGAAGAATTTTTGTTTGTGTAAAGGGCAAATATAATCGTTGACTCGTCAAGTTTACTTTCATTTTGATTTTGGTTCCTTAAGTTTTAAATTATAGGTTTTGATATCTTAATAAATAAAATGATCTAGGTATTTATTAAATTATAGGGACTAATGTTTTAGACGAAAAGAAATTTAAGAAACCAAAAGCTATGGTTTGAAATTTGAGAGACCAAAACTAAAATAAGAGTAAACTTGAGGGACCAAAAATTATATCAACCATTGCGTAAATAATGTAAGTATGCATAATATATAGGGTTAAGATCAAATTTGCCTCATAAGTTGTCACTCAATAGGGCTGGGTGTCTGGAATTTTTTTGGGAGCGAATTTGCTCTATACTGTTAAAATCGTAGTAATATTGTCTTATACCATTAAAAATATTAATAGACAGTGTCACTATTTTAATAGTCAATGTTAGTTTTTTAACCGTCGGAGATAATATTGTTGTGATTTTAAACTTTCAGAAAAAATTTTCTACCAAAATAAACTTCTGGATACCCAAAACTTCTAAGTAAAAATTTTCTAAACAATTTTGCACACTAACCCTTATATATATAATGAAAGCCAACAGCAAATTTGGCAGTCCCTTTTGAAATCCCCAGCACATCAATAAATTTGCAAATATTCTTTCCCGTCTTGTAAAATTTAGCCTATCACTACTTCTAGTTCATAATATAAGAATTAGTTGAGGATTATATTTAGTCCTAAATATAAAATTTTAATCTAATTTGTCTCTTAAATTTATAATTTCCACCCAAAATATCCTATGATTATTTCGATATACATGATTAAATAATTTATTTAATTAATTTCTTGATATATCTAAATTAATTATTTAACTTTTATATTAAAGATTGGAGGTAATACAATTTTCCTTTTCCGCCTATCCAAATACTATTATCTAAGTAGTAGTAATAACATACATACATATATATGTATGCGCGAGCTGAAGAAAGATAAACGACAATTTAATAATGTTGGTGGATATAATCCTCGTCATATTCTTTATTTCTATCCTTACCTCTTAAGCTTTTTAGTAAATAGAAAAGATTTCACTTTAAAAAAATAAAATAATAAAAAAGATTTCATGTCTTGTAAAATTTTTGTAAAGGCACTTGAAAATGTTATCACTATCACAATTTTAGAATCCAGATTTTTTTCAAATTTATTGTTAATTGATTCATGTAAAATTTAAAACAAAAAGTAAATAAAACATTCCGACACGAAAGGCTTACCCTTGAGTCTTTGACCATATTAAAATTATAATAATTAGAAAATAAATATCTTTCTTTTGACTTGTATCCCCCCCGGGGGGGCCTTTTTTGGTTGGGGAAATTTTGACCCACATCCACAAAATAATTATAATAAAATGCAATCCAAATTGACCGGTTGTTGGCTTGTTGCCGCATCATGTGCGCGTGTGTCGTATGATGATGATGTTTTCTGAAACTCCGAGGACCCAATTTCCGTAATAATAAGGTATTTTGAAGTGATGGATGTAATATATTTAAATTTTATTTATTAGATAGGTCCTAAATGATATTAATTTTAACTTTTAATGATTGAGATTTTAATATGAAATTTTAAAAGAAATCATAATAAATAGGATAATTGGAGAAAAAATTAATTAATGAGATATATAAAAAGATTACGGTCCTATGACCTAGACCAAATAACTTTTTCAACCAGTTTCTACATTTAGTGCTATAAAGAGTGTAAATAGTTATACACGCCAAAGTTTTTAGTAATTGAATTGCACAACAGTAAAAAATTATAAATTAGAATAGCTTCCACTTTATCAAAAAAAAAAAAAATCAGAATCGCTTCCAATTAACTGGTAAACTACATCAAAAAATTAACGTCAGAAAATATGCATGCAAAAATGTATATATTTTTTTTCTTGTCTTGATCATGCACGGGTGTCTATCCTTAATAGAATTGGAAGTTTTATTACTATTAATTAAGTTATCAAGAATGTGATCACTTTTGATGAATTCCATATTGCATATAATATACACACACAGATATATAGGTTGATAGTTCCGCCAATTATCTGCTTCATGCCCAATGGAAGAATTTTAAACTATACAATTTTATTGAACTCATGCGACTTTGCTTATAAAAGAATCATAAATTGTACAAATTTTCAAAGCGAACGTTTATCGGTTTGCTTTTTATTCTAATTAAATTTCACCGATAAATGCGTTGCTTGCTTATTACATTCAAGATCACAAAAGCTTTCAATTGTCAACGGTCAAATTTATACTATATTTTTAAAAAAATTTATAAAAAGTTGTCCTGTTGACATCATGTGAATATCATTGTATAACTTGTATTAGGACTCAATGCAATAACTCAGGGTTTAATTACACCATATAAATACCAACATAACTAGACCTAGAAAATCAGGTAGTGAGAACTTTTAGATTCTAAGTTTGCTCTATCATCCTCCGTAGTTACTACTAGAGAGTCTATCTACAACAAGAAGCAGCTGTAGCAATTATGAGTGCCAACATTGAGAATCATTAATATGATTCTAATTCCTCTTTAAATCCTTTGTTGTTGGCATCTGATCCCATTTACCTTGCAGTGTTGCTGCTATTGATCTGAACTTGTTTGAGATCATTGGTAAAGGAAGCCTTGAAGGCATGTCTCCCTCTGGAATCGCTTCCAAGCTTGAAAATCCATATGCCGGCATGACTCGTCGGCTTGACCGAATGTTATTTTTGCTTTCTAATTACTCTCTCTTGACTTGTTCTTCCAACAAACTTGATCAACACGGTAGGATGGAGAGGTTTTATGCTCTATCTCGTAGTGGCAAGTACTTAATCCCCGGTGAAGATGAAACCTCCAGCATCGTATTCTTCAAATTATGTAATCATCCCGCCTACGCAAAAATTTGGTAAGCATTTCATGTTTTGATTCATAATCACCAATTTGTGTTTATCCATTTCATGTTTTGTATATATGATGCCAGGAAAAACTTCAAGCAAGTGATTCTTGATGAGGAAGAGGACCTCTTCAGGAAAGTTCATGGGATGCCTATGTATATGGAAATGGATCCAACTTTCAAAACTACTTTTCATGGGGCAATGGTTGATTTGTCAACCATGATGATGAAGTATGTACTTGAGACATACAAAGGATTTGAGGGAATATCAACACTTGTTGATGTCGGTGGTGGCATTGGCCAAAGCCTCAAAATGGTCATTTCCAAGTATCCTTCAAATCAGGGCATTAACTTTGACTTGCCACAAGTGATACAACATGCATTATCCTGTCCAGGTACACACGCCTACATACGCACATGTTTGACATATAAACACTTTCTACACATTACAACCTGTGTAGAAAGTGAGGAGGATTCTTCTTTAATTTTTGCTTTTTGGTTAGCCTTTTCTAAATTAGTTAACAACAATGGGTGGGAAAAATCATTTCCTACGCCTGTGTATATTACTATCTCTACACTGGTTATATAATCGGTGTAAATATTCTTTTCCGAACCACTGTAAAAAGGTCTTTTGACATATGACACAGTTAACCGCAATGTCATTTTTCCTCTTATTTTGAACTTTCACAGGTAGTTTTACACTTGAGAGTAAATTTACACCTTAACCCATTAATCAATTGAATCATATAATTTTCAAAACTCGCACATGCAAAATTTTTCTTTGAGCTTATCATAAGATCTTCCTTGGATATAGTTAAAGGAATGAAGCATGTTGGAGGAGATATGTTCAACAGCGTTCCCCAAGGGGATGCCATAATGATGAAGATCAGTTTAACACTATAATTAATTTTAAATAGTAGTTATTATTATTCTTAAGGGTCCGTTTGGTATGAAGGAAACAGAAGAGAGAGAAGGAGAGAAAAAATTTTAATGAGCTCAATTTAGAAAATTAAAGAAGTGGGGTTAAAAGCTTTTAATTAATTCTTATTACTCTTTTGCATTACATCCTCTCTTTATTAAACTTTTAAAGCCCCACTTCTTCAATTTTCTAAGTTGAGATCATTAAAATTTTTCTTCCCTTCCCCTCTCTCCATTTCTTTCATACCAAACAAGTCCTTAAAGTTTGCTAATGATAAGCTATATACATACGTATGTTTATATATGTTTAATGTCTTGCGGTCCATAACTCATAACTGGGGAGATGAAACCTGCGTACAAATCTTAAGAAACTGCCATAGATCTCTCAAAACGAAGGCAAGCTTATTATTATATATTGACCTTATAATGCCGGAAATACCAGATGGAAGCGACGGGCATAAGCATGTATCAATTGCTGACAACCTCATGCTTGTGCAACCTGGTGGGAAGGAAAGAACAGAGAAAGAATTTGAAGCCCTTTGCAAAGATAGTGGCTTTTCTAGCTACCGTATTGCGGCTTGTGTTGCCTCCACTGCTTTGGGAGTCATTGAGTTTTATAAATAAACTAGACTAGATTGTCGTCATGTTACTTTGCATGGATCCGAGTCTAAAGAGAGTCACACTACACACACACACACACACACACACACACACACACACCACACACACACACACACATGGTTTATGAATAATGCATGCGACTAAGTATGCACGGTTTATGTTATATATAGAATAAACAAAAGGTGATGTAATATTTGAATATAATAAATTATGACTAAGGAATGAAAAAAAAAACAGTATTTAGTACGAATGATTGCTTGTTACTTGGGATAGGATGAATCCATATATGTGGGATTGGGAATATCATTAGAGGAGGTGGTATTTTCTAATCCCACCTACATGGAATTTTCTAATCCCATATAATAAGAAATTATTCATGTTAAACAACATTGGGTAATTTTTCTCAATTTCAATCCCAATGTTTTGTACCAAATGGGACCATAATGTAGATGTATCCATCAATTCTTTATCCAAACATGCCCAAAAAAGGCAGTCGTTGACATTTCTATAATCCCCGAATCAAACAACTGACCATATGTAAAGGCAGGCATGCGTGCACGATAGGAACACGTCAAGTGTCAACAAAATGGATGATCTGAACTGCATGAAAAAGTAACATTTGATGGAGTAAGTTATCTTCTCAATACATCTTTAAAGATTTTTATATCTAAACAAATATGCTTGTTAATTCATAATTAATTATCTTTATCTGACGTACATTCTATTTCATATTTTTGGTGCATTAATAATATCAGAAAAATTGATTTTTAATAATTTTTATATTATAGTTTATCATTGTATTTATCAGTACAATGACAAATTACATTCCCTGAGAATTATATGTGTGCGTGCGTGTGTTCTTCAAAGCCTAAGGGAAGCCTTTTTTATACCGAATGGGTAGGTATAAAATTATAGATATAAAACTTATTTGCTCAATGACAGTGAAAAAAAAATTAGCATTGCTGGTAATTTAATATGTGGTTAAAGTGCATTCAGCACTCTAAAATATTTTTTGAGGTGCATCTAGCATCCTAAAATATTTTGAGACGTGATTTTATCCCTAACATATTAAAAATGGACCAATCTTACCTCTTAACGAACAGTCCGCAAATGTCCATTAGCTCTGTCTCCAGGAAATTGGGGGGGGGGGCTTTCATAACAAAAGTCCTCTCTCTATTCCCCTTCCAGCCCTTCCTTAGAATGCTGAGTGTACTAAAATTATTTTGGGATATAAGGTGCTTTTAAAAAAATAACCTAAAATTATTTTACACCAAAATGATACTCCCTCCGTTCTTTATTATAAGAGACATTTGATGCTTATAGTATATTCCTAAATATAAGAGACACTTAAAAGTTGTCTTTACTTTTTTGTGTTAATTTCCTATTTTACCCATATTTATTGTCTCCAACTCACACTCTCTCTCCTTCCCACTTCTCTTTCTTTTAAGAATTTACTATTGTTCTCTCTCATGCTCTCTCTCCTTATTAATGAGGGCATTTTTGGAAAAAAAATTATACTTTTTGCACATTAATTGTTCTTAACTAATTTTAACTGTTTTTTTGATCAACGCAATTCGGTTATTCGTCTCTTATAATAAGGAACGGAGGGAGTAGTATTTTGGGTAAAGGAGGGGAGCGAATGGGAGCAGTAGGGCTCCACGTGGGCTTGGCTAGGCTGGGCTGGGCAGGTCAGGGCCCTTGCCTGATACCCAACCTGAAGAATAAACGAGTTGGAAAATACAGCCTGTTGCCCGGCCTTGCCCATGAAAAGCCTCAGTAAGTTTGGACTTGGTAGGGCAGGCTTCAATGCCTAACAAGTCAATATACTCTTTCAGTCCTAAATATAAGACTCATTATTTATACTACAAAATGAGTCTTATATTTAGGACCGAAGTCTTATATTTAGGACTGAAGAAGTACTATATTAACTAACTTATTATTTATGTCTCTCTAAATAATTTAATGTCACTTTATATTAAAATGGCAAGTTAACCTTAATATAGCTGTTACTAATTAATATACTATGAAACTACATTTTGTAGTAGCTGAGAGGAGTGGACTATGACAAAAAAATATTCTTACTATATTTTATTAAACTTAATTGTTTTTCTAGTTTCTAAAATTTCTTAACCAAATATGAATTTTTTTTCCATAACTCCCAAATACTCATAAGAGGATGAAATCAATTATATTTTAAAAAAATCTTTGTTTTTTAATAAATTTTTAAACTATCTTGATCATCTTTTAATTTTAACCAAACAAAGAGAAAACAGTTTTAGAAAAACAAGAAGTAAAACAAATTTCAAAATAACTCAGTTAAATAAAAGATATATAATTACTTATATACCAATATATAAATTGCCAACAGCCATAATGTTTGCATTAAAAAATAGAATGGTCATATAGATCACAATAAATGATTAGATATATAACTTTTAAAATCATTCAAAAATAAATAAATATAATGAATACTGAATATTGATGCAACAGTGCATTTGGTTCAAGAGGTAAATACGAGGCAAATAAAGTATATATAAATAAAATTATATATATTTTTGCGGGCGATACCAGATGAGCAGGACAGCATACTGTGCCGATGCCCAGCCCTACCCGACAATTTGACCGGCCCGAACATGCCCAATATTTCTTTCAGGCCTTTTTTTTAGAGCAGATTGGGTATTTTTTTACAGGCTTGGATGGGTATAGCAGGCAATCGGGTTCTATGAACACTCCTAGGGAGCAGCAAGCGGAGAGAAGCCTGTACCATGCTTGCAGGCACTGCCGATACATTGGCGTCTTTTCATTTTTTGATAGAATCTCAATTAACTCAACTTGCCCCATTTTTTGCAAGGCCCAGAAAGAGTCCGTTCCCCTTACCAACTATATTGCCAAGCCGAATGGAATCTGACTTCTAAAATTGTGTCATCAACAGATCCCCAACTAAACCACTAGGATTGAGTCTAGCAAAAGAGACTGATTTCTCATGATGTAAAAAATTAATATTCAAATTTCTGCTGAGAGATATGCTCATATTTAGACCCAACAGTGCTTCAAACAGGATTGTTTTCTATAAGAGAATACCTTAGCTTAGCCCCAAAAAAAAAAACAGCCCTGACTAAATTATTTATGTTATGATATGCGGAAATTGTTTTTTTTGGGTGAAATATGATGCGGAAATCTTAATACCTTATCTGGACAGAGCTAGTCTATTTGAAATTTTTGGATCACAACATATTTTTCGAATTGATAATAAACTTACAACGACGTTGCTTCCTTCCTCTGGTTTTTAATATGAAAACCAATAGAGAAATTTATTTTGGTTCTCAATACAATATCATAATTTATTTTAGGGTTACTATCATTTTCAGTCCCTGAAATTTAACTTTGTTCTGGTTTTTGTCCTTGAAATTTGATCTCATTTTAGTCTTGATCCCTAAAGTTTGAAATAAGTGGTTTTGATCCCTCAAATTTAAACTTATTTTGGTTTTGATCTTTGTTTTAGGAACCAAAAATCTTAAGTTGAACCAAATTTCAAGAATCAGATACAAAATAAAATCACATTAAAAAAATTCATTTTTGACAAATATTACTTTTAATCATTTGTATTGATTGTATACATTAAAAAAATTTTTAAAGGTCAGAGTGCAATTTTAACAACAAAGTTTATCTTAAGAGAAATTGGGCACCATAAAGTTTATTTAGGTGCACAAATATACATGAAGTTATCAAAAGGGGGCATCTGACATCATATCGTTAACATCCGTTAATTTATCATTAGAGAGGCCCACTAAGTCAGTTTTAAGTTGCATTTTTAACATCAAAGTTTACATCAAGGGGCATTAGGCACCATAAAATTTACTTAGGTGCAAAAATATACATGACCTTTCTAAAAGGGGAAAAAAACAAAAGTCTCCAACTCCCATGAACGTCCATTAATTTTATTTTTTGGGTCCCACTAAATATAATTTTTTTCTCTCTACTCATTCCTACTTCCTCTTCTTCTTAGTATAATGGACAAATTTAGAAAAAAGTTAAAGAAATAAAACAATTACTTAAATATAGCATATATTATATGATCTCTCTAAAATATTTATATGCATTATTTGATTATATATTAGTTTATAAGTCAAGCAAATTAATTTAGAGAAAAATGATAAATATAATACTTTAAAGTAATTTTTTTAATCTCTTCAAATTAGTCTATTATGTGCTATATTAAAGACTAGACGTAGTACTTGGGTGCAAGAAATGAACCTCATATCCTAGAAAGGAAAGGCATTGTTTTGTGTAAATACATATAAAAGACTTAGAGGTGGAGAAAACGACATGACAAAAAGAGTGTGCGTGTTGACTATGATAAAAGAAAGATGGATCGACTTGGAAGTGAAAATTGATGGAGAGAAAATATAGCATTTGGTGGAACCCAAAAGAATAAAATTAATGGATATTTATGGAAGTTGAAAAATTTTGTTATTTTTTCCCTTTTAGAAAGTTCATGTATATTTTTGCACCCAAGTAAATTTCATGGCATCTACTACCCCTTGATGTAAACTTTGTTATTAAAAATGCACCTTAAAACTGATTTTGTGGGCCCCTTTGATAGTAAAGTGACGGACATTAACGGCTTGGTACCAAACACCACCTTTTGACAACTTCATGTATATTTTTGCACCCAAATAAACATTATGGTGCCCAATGCCTCTTAAGGTAAACTTTGTTGTTAAAATTGCACTTTAACCCATTTTTAATTAGGAGATTAGTTTTTAATATAAATAATTAAAAGTAATATTTGATGAAAATGAATTTTAAAAAAACTTAATTAATTTTTTAGTTTTTGATAAATTTATTACTGAACTTTTGGACTAATTTTCAAAAGATGTATCTATTTTTAACACTATAGGAAACTGGATCTGGTTGCATTAGACTGAAAACTACTAAACTGGTCATCTGATCGATTCGATTAGCCCTTAAGAACTAGAAAAATCTAATCATGGGATGACTCG